CAAGAAGCTCCAAACATTCCAAAACAAACTCCTACGTCGAATTTCACGCGCTCCCTGGTACATTCGAAACATCCAAATCCACAAAAACCTCGAAATGGAAACGATTCAGGAATTCATTTCGAAACTACACAAAACCAAAATCCTCCACCACACAAACATGCCCCTAATCTAAGAGATTTTTTCCCGAACAATCCCAAAACTCCACTTCAAATTTCCCAATAGTCTAATGGCAGACCCCCCTTGGGAACACCCACCTTAAGAAAAAAAAACCCGGCTTAATGAAAAACAAAATTTAAACACATTAAAGTAAATAAGGCCAAACCACAGAACCAGTTTCTTCCAAACTACCCCAAAACTTACCTCTTCTTTTTCAGTGGATTTTTTTTTCTCATTCACTAATCTCAGGCAAATAATCCCCTACCTCACCCAGGCTTACTCATAGGTCAGCACTAAAGACTAAAAGCCTTAACTGGCTAAGTCTAAAAAAACTTTTAACACACAGGGAGTCAGTGAAGTGACAGCAGCGACCGGGTGCAGAAGAAGTTAAACCCCGCGAGTCGGAAGACCGAGTTTTCCGTTTGTTATTGTTATTGTTTGTGAAGTCGGTAATTTTGAAGTTAAGTTCCTGTTCCGTATTTAAAGTTATACCGAGTTAATAAAAGTTGGAAGCTGAAGAAAGAGTTTGATACCCGGCCATCCACGGTACAATATTTATTTCTTTTCCTTCAGCTATTTTTCCGTTACATTCTGAAGTTACCATTTTTTATACACACTCACAATATACCGGGTGTTAATATTTTATGTTTCTTTCATTTGATTAATGTTTGGTATATTGAGCTTAGATTGTCTGTATCTTATCTAACATTCGTGGCATTGTTATGTTTTTTTAATTTGTATCATTTCATGAACTTTTCTCTTATCATAATTATTTTCATTAATTAGTATTTGTGTTTCAAAATCAAAATGATGTAACATTTGATGTGAATATTGTGCTACTGCTATTCCATTTTCGTTACTTTTCCCTAAGATATTATGCGGTTTGAAGTCAACATAGCAGAATAAAATGTTACGGTTTTTTCAGATTCATTTTGAAGCAGCAATGTGGGAAAAAACTAGAGTTGATGGGACCAGAAAGTTAAAAAGAAATGCCGTACCTACACTTTTTTCTTTCACAAACCCGAAGAAAATCAGAAAAGATCCTACTCAAAGAACTATACCGACCCGAGAGGCACATACAACCCTTCCTACTTGCTGTAGTACAAACACCCAAGAACTAAATGTAAGCTCCCTCGAACAGCCTTCCCCTTGCTTCTCTGTTAATTGTGATCCTGAAATGAATAGTGCAAACTCGAGCCCTCAAAAATCAAATAATTTAAGTAACAAAGAAAAAGTATATATGTATCAAAAATTATTAAAGAAAAAATAATTTTTGCTAAAACACCACACGTGTAAATTGCGAAATAATACTTACAAATTGAAAATGTTAGAAAAAAACCAAACTTCAGGCAACTCTCATGTACTACATGCTGAATTTAATGACGACCAAATTATAGCATTAAAGAAGAAACAATCGTTGAAAAGTACAAAATTGATTAAATGGAGTGATAATACTATAATTAAAGCAATGAAATTGAAATTCAGTTATGGTAACTCAGGTTACGAGAAATTATTAAAACAAAATTTACTCTCTCCTTCCATAAGTTATGTCAGGCCTAAAGATCCGCATTTGACTTGTCTATGGCGTAAAATTTGCGACACCCTTAACGTGAAGTGCCGTCCCTTGGTTCCCAGGAACTGAACACTTACTTGTTGAAGTGTGTGAACCATACATTGGTAGATTAGATATAAACCAGATGCATTTTTTGTCAGTAGGTTAAGCTAGGATTTCGTTTACATTTTTAAGTGTAGCTTTTATGTCAGGCAGTCAGCTGAAAACCGCCAAAGAGTTTGGTACATACAATTGTTAACAATCAACTTTTTTAATTTTAAATAAATATTTTAAAAAACAAAGTCTCGGCCATTGATCGTTAACTCATACGAACTTTACAACGTAGATTACAATATAATATAAATATAAGTATAGTATAGTATAGTAATTAACAGTTTAGTTTAGAAGGCGTTAGAAAATATGAAATAGAAAATAATTATATGTAAGTTTTTATTGCGTAAAGCCAACTAATGTCTTATAATGTTTGTCGTGTGTGTTTTAATACCTGGGACCTAGACAATAAACATTACTCAGTAATGGTTACAAGTGGGTCTATTATACGCCCGCTTAAAAACAAACGTTTGATTTATAACGAGGAACGAACAAGACTGAAAACCTAACTTAAATTTCCATTGCTGAAAACAATTCTTTTTACGTGCTGAATTGCATCTCGATTCAGCTGACTTAACTCTCAAGGAAAGGTATTTTATATAGACAAACTCATCTTTAAAGCTGGTTACTAATTTAATTGCAAAATGTTTTATATTATGGCAATTATTTCAAATTAAAGAAATACTTGAGCCATACAGATCAATGCAAAATATGTTGGTGCCAAATTGATTCGACCCATAATGGCGAATGGGAGGAGCTTTGGCCCTATTGTCGCCACTGTCTTGCATAAGGCCACTGTAGCGTGACCAACCTTTGTGGGGCGGATGAGTGTAGTACCTGAATCCGTCACGTCCATTAAAATATTTGAGACTGCAACAGACCGATTCCAATATTTTACACTTCACAAGTTTGACGATTACCATTCCAATTCTAATTGAATGATAGAAGGTATTGAAACGTTTTAAAAATAACAATGAATGGAAACGTTTCGAACCGGTTTCGTTCAGCCAATAGCTGGGTAGATCCTCATGTATCTCAGGAACGAAGTGGGCGAAATGCTTTTTAAGCCTGTAACGATTTATTTAGGGCCGTTTCCGTGCGTTCAAGATTGTTTGGAGACTTCCGGCGTCTTTGGTTTTGCAAATATTAAACACAGAACACCCTCCCTCTATATTTACATCATTATTTCACATAATATGTAATAAACCCAAAGAATGAGTTTTACTGTGGTTTCATTAATTAATCAACACCTGATTTTTTAAAAGATGAGGCGGGTTTTTGGTACCTATTCGACCATCTTTGGAGCAAGATTAAAACTAAACGACTAGTTTGAATGTTTTCCCCAAGGGCGCATAGGTATCGAAACGCGCTCCGAGGGAAAAAATTAAATGTTTGCAAAGGTAGTAATACTCGGTTATTTTATTGGGTGAAATAACGATGGAAATACTGTCTATGATTTTCCGCACATTAATTTTTGGTGTAAAACCGGACCGTTAAAGTACTGCCCATTTGTAGATACAGTTTATTCCGTAAACACATGATGTGTCGAACAATGTGTGTTAAACATTTGAGCTTGATACTTTTTGTAATGGCTGACTAAATACAAGGTGATTCAAAATTGGCGTCATTCCTTTTAAGGGGTGATAGAGTGGGAAGTACGAGAAAAATATTGAAATTTTTTTTTTCTAAAATTTCTAGAAGATATTAACAGTTGAAAATCGAATTTCAACTTTGTTATTAAGCATTATTTTGAAATTGTTCCATGTTTAATTAGTAGCATTCCTGGAATACTTGAGCATTCAAAAAGAAAAATTACCATCTTTGCTTTAAATTACAAAAATGTTTGATATCAAAAAAGTTCTCTTCTACAATTTTTTGATGAAAAGGTACAGCGGCAATGATGTTTTTTGTCATTAGCAGATAGTTACAGGTGGATAGCACTTGTCAATAATAACAATAATTTGTTAAACTGTGACTTACTTTGAATTTCTTTTCACGAATTTGCGGATACGCGATTAGTTCAGGGGAAATGCTACAGTAACGTAGCAGAAGCTGAAAGAACTCACGCCAACAAAGGACGAGGAGAGTGGTTCCAGGAAGATAGTGGACGACCATCGATGTTCCGGTTCCAGACACAGAGGAACAAGTATTGGGCATAATCGAAACAGGGCCTTCGAGGGGCACTCAGAGCACAATAACTGACACTTTCCCAAGCACCAAATAAATACCCAGGAAGGGCTACGTTCCTACCACGTTTGTACGATACACACAGCACAAGGAGATCCAAATGGAGCAGGAGTTAATTAACTGAATACGAGAAGCTGCTTGATAAGAGTGGATAATAAGGAGATTACACAGACACTAGCTTGTTTGGAGTTAACCATTCAAATGTTTGGTGTTGTATGGTTTATTTTTAAACACCAATATATAGAGGTTATAAGAACAGGTTGACATTTCGTCAACAAATCTTGTTGAATTTACCGTTTATCTTTGTCTATCTTATTGTCGCTCTGTATAATTCCATGGTTACTGGAGTTTTAAATAATTACGAAGCAACAGGTATTTGTGCAATGTTAATTAGGCAGATTACCTTGAAAAACGTTGCTGCCGTATTTCTGATATAGTTTTTTGCAAATTTTTCAGTTTTTAATAACAATTAATTTATTTTACTATTTTTTCTGTACTTCTATAACAGACAACGCGCCAGACAACACTTCCAGAGGAATGACA